GAGAGAAAGAGGGAGGAAAGAAGGAAGGGAGGGAGAAAGGGGTAAGGGAGGAGGGAAAAACAGGGAGGGATGGATGGAGAAGGAAGGAAGGAGAGAGAAACAGGGAGGGAGAAAAGGGGGAAGGGAGGAATGAGAGAAAGAGGGAGGAAAGTAGGGAGGGAGGGCGAAAGGGGTAAGGGAGGGATGGATGGAGAAGGAAGGAGGGAGGGAAAAACAGGGAGGGAGGAATGAGAGAAAGAGGGAGAAGGAAGAGTGGGAGGAAGGGAAGTGTGAGAGAGAAAGCAGGGAGGGATGGAGGGAGAAGGAAGGAGAAAGAAAGGATGTGAGGGAGGGAGAAGAAAGAGTGGAAGGGAAGGAAGAAGAGGGAAAGAAAGAAAGAAAGAAAGAAAGAAAGAAAGAAAGAAAGAAAGAAAAAGGAAAAGAAAAAAAAAGAAAAAAAGGAAAGGAAGAAGAAGAAGAAGGAGAAAGGAAGGGAGGGAAAGAAAGAAAGAGAAGGAGGGGAGGAAGGAAAAGAAAGAAGGAAGGAAAGGAAAGGAAAGAAAGGAAGGAAAGAAGGAAGGAAGGAAGGAAGGAAAGGAAGGAAGGAAGGAAAGGCCTGACCCACCCCCTTCCTTCCCCTTCCTCTGGGGGCGCCCTTCCCTTTGGGGGGGGGGGGGGGGGGGGGAGAGGGGAGGGGGGCTGAACCGGCCCACTTACCGCCCACAGGAGGCGGTGGGGGCCTCCCCTCTCTGGGCCCCGCCGGGGTTTCCTCCAGCGCCGCGCCGCCCGGGGGCTTGTCCGTCCGCCCGGCTCCTTCTGCTGCCTCCGCGGCCTTCCCTTCCTCCGCACGGGGGTTTGGCGGCCATCGGGGCGCCTTCCATGCTAAGCGGAGCCGGCCCAAGAACCCGAATGGCGACGCGGCCGTTTGAAAATGGCGGCGGGACGTCGCGGCCAATCAGCGGCGCTCGTCCGTTGCTAGGAGACGCCCCGGAGCGAGGCCTAGCGCCCGGCCCGAAGCCTGCCTGCCCTTTCGCCGGTTTTTTTCGGCCGGGGGGATACCGGCTGAGGGAGGGAGCGGGACGCGCGTCATACCTTCCGCCCCCGAGAAGGTAACGCCGGCGGGGCGGAGCCGAAGAGGCCGCCGTCCTCCATCACAAAGCCGGGGAAGCGGAGACGGCGGTGGAGACTTTTGGGGTCGGCCGCTTCGTTGCCACGGTCGTTAAGCGAACCCCGCAGTTGTTAAATTAGTAACACGGTATTCCATGGAGTCACGTTTGTCCCAAAGGTGCTTTTTTCCAAAAGGCAACTGGACTTTCTTGGGGTTTTTTTTTTTCGTTGAAGACGTTTCGCTTCTCATCCACAAGAAGCTTCTTCGGTTCTGACTGAATGACCCCATACAGTCAGAACTGAAGAAGCTTCTTGGAGGAGAAGCGAAACGTCTTAAAAGCAGAAACAAAGACAGATGAGACGAGATTACCTTTATTGTCATTTTTTTTTTTTACGGTGAGCACACTGGCACACATTAAAAATGAATTCTGTTTCATTTTTTCATCTGTCCGTGTTTTCCTAAAGCAGAACTTACTTAATACTTAAAGGCAAGGATTAAATTTTAATATCATTTATTGATGTGCTTTTGTAGATTTTAAAAACATAATTTTCCTTGTGAATATTCGCTTGACAACTTATTATTTGCATTTTTCATGTATCACTGCTTTGATGCGTGTCAGCCTTCCTTTAAAACAATGCATACCTTTTTCTTTTTGTAACTATTAGATTTTTAACTATATTAGTTTTAAAAACATTGCTTGAAAGTTGCACAAATGTAATGATTCATATGTTCCTCACGTTGCCTTTTCACCACATCTATGCATAATTCTTGGCTTGAAGTCAATGAAGGTGAAATGCTTTATGTGACTTTATGCTCATATTTCCTTTTCTGTATTATATTAGTTTTCCTTAAAAATAGTATTTTCACAGATGAATAAAAACTTAATTAAAACAAAAAAAATGAAATTCTGTTGCTTGCTCTCAAAAGAAGGTATGTATCCATACACATGCATACAACACATATACACATGCAATATCTATCTAATCTATCTATCTATCTATCTATCTATCTATCTATCTATCTATCTATCTATCTGTCTGTGTTGTCTATCATCTCTATCATCCATTCATATCTATCTATCTAGTCTCTATCATCTATCTATCTATCTATATCTATCATATCTATCATCTATCATCCATATCTATCATATTTATCATCTATCTATATCTATCATATCTATCATCTATATCTATCATATCTATCATCTATATCTATCATATCTATCATCTGTATCTATCATCTATATCTATCATCTATCATCTATATCATATCTATCATCTATATCTTATCTATCATCTATCTATCTATCTATCTATCTATCTATCTATCTATCCCAAAAGGTGTATATATCCATACACGCATACAACACATATACACATGCAACATACATACACACACACATACATATATATCCACCCATATGTATATCTATATATATTTATACACCGATATATCTATATATCTATATCTATCGATCACTGTCCATCAAAATTTCCACGCCTTTTGAAAAAGCACCTTTAGTAACCCAGTTTGTTAAGTGAATCAAGGGGATCATTTGACCCCAGGACACTGCAGCTGTCATAACTATGAGTCAGTCACCAACTGTCTGAATTTTGATCACTTAACCAGGGGGATGCTGCAAGGTTTGTAAGGGTCATAAGTACATGGCAGTTGCCAAGCATCCAAATTTTAATCACATGCAACGGTCATAACTGTGAACAATGGTCATAAATCACTTTTTTCAGTGCTGTTGTAACTTCAAACGATCATTAAACGAATGGGTTATAAGTTAAAAACTACTTGTGTGCAGGTAGTCCTCGATTTATAGCAGTTCATTTAGTGACCGTTCAAAGTTACAATGGCACTGAAAAATGTGACTTATGACCATTATTCATAGTTATGATCATTGCATGTGATTAAAATTTGGATGCTTGACAACTGGTTCATATTTATGACCGTTGCTGTGTCCCAGGGTCATGTGATTCCCTTTTACGACCTCTTGACCTCCTTTGTCCACTTATTTTTTCCCCCCAACCTGTGCTCTCAGGGTTGGCATTTGGGGGATGGGTTAAATGGGGTGTAAGGAGATAGCTTGGCCAGGTGAGAAGGTGATGCCTCTTTTGGGACTGCCTGCTCTGGATAACCAAACTTAACTTGGCTCTTTACCGTACCGATGATTTTTATACAGGTAGTCCTCGATTTACAACCACAATTGAGCCAAGGTTTCTGTTGCTAAGCGAAACATTCGTTAAATGAGTTTTACCCATTTTACAATCTTTCTTGCTCACAATTGTTAAGTGAATCAATGCAGTTGTTAAGTTAGCCACACGTATGTTAAGTGAATCCTGCTTCCAGAAAAACCATCAATGTGTAAAATTTGTATGACCGTGTAGAGAGTAAGAGAGATGTTAACTTAATAAGCGTTGCTTTTCAGAAGATGGCAAAAGCTGTGATCACATGACCCCGGGACACTGCAGCCGTCATAAGTACGAGTCAAGTTGCCAAGTGTTTGAATTTTGATCATTTGACCCTGGGGATGTTGCAATGGTCGTATGTGTGAAAAACAGTCATAAGTCACTTTTTTTCAGTGCCGTTGTGACTTTGAACGGTCACTAAATGAACTGTTGGAAGTCAAGGACCACCTGAATCTGCTTTGGAACCATATATTTTCAGTTGTCAGAAAACATGTTGTGCAATGGGGATAAAAAGAAATTGCAACCATTGTGTCAGACTTGGAAGCCATCTTTTGTGTTTGGGCCTTCAGGCCTGCCACATCTTTTTCTGTGGGAAAATGGGAGGGGGGATTGCCTAGAGTGTAGATGATATGTAGTCAAAATAACATTCCTTTCTCAGAGAGTCAAGGACACATTGCCCTGGCACTTGGAGTCAGATGATTGGGAAGCGTCTTCAGTTTGGACGGTGGATGATTGGCCCATGTGATGGACATGAGGGTGCTGGGCAGGGACTTGAACTTTCACTTGGGTGGGGAAAACCTGGAAATTCGGATTCGGGTTTTCCCAGGTGTGCCAATATGACATCTTTAATAAAAAGTAACTTTGAGGAAATCTAAGTCTCGGAGTTTTCTTTTGTTGGGGGTGTATTTTGTGCCTATAATGCTGGATGTTTAAAACATCTTAACAGAGCCAGTTTGGTCTAATAGTTAAGGCACCAGGCTGAAAACTGGGAGATCGTGAGTTCTAGTTCTGCCTTAGGCGGGAAACTGGCTGGGTGACTTTGGGCGATCACCAGGAGATGGTGAATTCTAGTCCTGTCTTAGGCCTGAAACCCAGCTGGGTGACTTAGGGCTAACTTGGGGTTGGACTAGAAGACCTCCAAGGTC